CAGCACATTAACAGGGAAATGCCAGAAGTTCAAGCTGAGTTTAAAGGAGATGGTAGCACCAGGGATATCACTGCTGATGTCAGGATCCTGGCAGAAAGCAGAGAATATCAAAGGAATGTCTGTTTTATTGACTATGCAAAGGTATTTGTGTGGATCACAACAAACTATGGAAAATGGGAGAACCTACAAGTTTCAGAAGAATGGGAAATCTAGAACATTTAAGTGAATGTTCATATGAATTCTATACGTAGACCAATTCTATATGTAGAAGCTGTTGTCAAACAAAACAAGGAAACACAGTATGGTTCAACTGCCCCGATCATTTGTCCACTGTCAGGCCCACACTGTTCTGACCATTTGATAGAGGGCCTGAGGGTCCTCACATCAAGGGCCCCTGCTGAGCCACTGCTGCCCTGTGTCTGGCTGCAGGAGCACAGGTAAGAGCAGAGTTCTTTACCGCCATCGAATATCCAAGGCTCTCATTTCTTTGTCAGGGTTTTGTGGATCAAAGCACGTTCATCCTGTATACAGTAAATATACACTCAAGTATTTAATTCTGGGAGCAATGATCATAAAGGGTACTTTTTAAATATTTTCATTTTTAACTGCTCACTGTCCACACACATAAACAGAACTGATGTGGTCAGTCCAGAGCCCTTACTCAACTCAAAGCTTTTGGGGCAGCTCTGCTCAAATACATTCGTTGGCCCAGAGGGCAGCGTGTCGATGCGAGGCCACAGGTAGGAGAAAGGTGTGTTGTCCATGTGACTCAACCAGAATGCTGCTGTCTAGGTCCCAGGTCCTTGGTGACTCTGTCATGGATTCAACTGAGCACCCAGAGAACTGCTTCAAATGGGGGAGTAATGTGATGACTCCCATCATCTGGTAAGTCAAACACCCAGACCTCATGTAAGCAGAGTATTGCTGGAGCCTGCACTCCCTAGAAAGAGAAGTGAGCAGAGACTGAGTAGCCTCAGGGCCACCAAGACCGAAAGGCCAGGAGCAGAGCATGTCCTCTGGACTCAGGCCCCTGTGCCGGGAAGCTTGACACCAGGATGGTCAAGGTCAGGGTGATGTCCAAGAAACGTAGGGCCTTTCAGATGCCAAAAGGCACAAGGCTATCTTCCAGAACTGACAGAGAGAGAGGAGCTTAGCCTGAATGCAGACACCAGCATCCTAAACTGTGAGAGTAAAGGCCTTCGCTGGGGAAGATCTCTGTAACAGGAAGGCTAGGATTCAGAGACTCCCGAGGAAGTTGATGAGGGCCTATCACCGGAACATTCCAGTGTGTTTATGTCCCAGGGGTAGCTGAGCTCCTCCTGCAGATCACTGCAGCTGGAGGCTCCCTACATCTGGCGTTTGTCCATTTCTCCTTTCAAGTCTACTGGGTACTTATAGGCATCTGCAGTTCTTGCACTGGAGCACCACCCTGGAAATGTTCCATCCCCATAGTCAGCAGTCTGTCACGGTGTCGCCTTTGCTCAGATGCCACTCTGTCTGGTTTTCATGCACCATGCACGCTTTCCTGCCTGTGCTGGTGTGCCGCTATCCCATCTACCCCATGAAGTCTAACTTACAGTGTGTCTCAGCACACGTCTGTGGGTCCAGATCTGTCCTTCCCCGGCAGCTGCCTCCAGGGCTCTCTCAGTGTCATTTGGAATCCATTATCCTGGCGTGTCTCTGTATTACACATTAGTGGGGTACTGAGTTGACAACACTCATGCTTCCCCTCTCAGCCACTCAGCATTCCCACGTGAGGTGGAGTGGAAAAGCCTTACAGCCTCAAGGCACCTTCAGTGCCCTGTTCCCATCTTTAGAAAGAAAAGTTCAGGAGCAAAAATGGCACCAAGTTCTGATCTGCAGCCATTTAAGAGAAAGACAATGAAGAAAACAAATGGGCTAGGCAAAAATACAAGAGCACAATGCAGTGACCATGCACGAGGCAGATGCTTCCTGTGAGAATGTGTGCATGTATGTACACACACACAAGCTCACTTGCAGAAACACTAACGGTGTAGCCTCACGGAAATGCACTGACACATGCAGTGTGCTACAATGCATGTTTGCACACGTGTACATTTTCACAGATGTGTACGTACACATGAGTGTACACACAAATGCACTCACAGAAATGCACTTACACATGAATATTCACAGGAGGGCACTTACATGTGTGCACACACAGAAGTGTACACAGGCATTCTCAACACACACGTAGGGTAACCTTCATGTACACGCATATTCACACAAATGAATTCACAAGATATATTTAATGTATCCATGCACTTGGAAGGCTACTGATACGAGGGAAGATACAAAACATGCGGCCCCCCACCCCAACCCCGGTAGAATCAGGAACCACATGCAAAAAATGAGAAACAGTGAAAGTCAGCAGCACAAGCAAGCCAGTGGTGAGGAGACATGGAGTCACGCCTCACCCAGCATTGAGAGTAGCACCCCCAACAGCTGGTACTCAGCACACGGCTTCTCCTCGTGATACGTGCATGCACGGGACCCGCCGGGTTCAGGAGAGCAGTCTAACCCCAGCCCCAGGGCCACCCTTAGTCAGCAAAGGCTCTGCAGAACAGCACAGACATGGGAGCTGTTTCTGTGAGTACTACTGCCAAGACCACCAGGGGACACCTAGGCTCTGTCACACGGGGCACTGGCAACTGGAATGAGCGGACAGCACACAACTGTCCAGCTAAAGGGATTTCAGTGCAGCTTCCAAACCAAGACCAGGAACTTCTGAAAATCTGTTCATCAGGTGCTGGGCCTTGGCTGAGTCGGCAACAAACAATGCTTCAATCTTCCTCAAAGCCAACCCAAACAAAAGTGAAGCTATGCCAAGAGGGTTAAAAAAACAAACAAACCTAGACTCTGGACCCTCCCATAAAAAACAAAACAAAAACCCCAAACCCAGCACAGAGAGAAGCCAGACAGTTCTCACAGTGCACTGTCCACAGACAAGAAATGACCACAGATGTCAGGAAGAGTCCTTACACTACACTGTCCATACATCAGAAAAAAACTGCCTGAGAAGTGTGCTCTCTGGCAGTGCCTGCATCTCCTGCACAGCTAGTGGAGCAGAGAGAATGGGGCTGCCAAATGTCCTTGGGTCAGAGAGCAGCCAGGCCACTTGCAGTGATGAAGAAACAGCTGGTCAGTAACAAAACATTACTGAGCACACCAGCCCACAGGTGGGAGCAGCAGGCCGAGTGTTCAGTCTCCACAGTGGACATACACACTTACATAAGGGTGGTGGGCACTGAGCCTGCTGTCCAGGTGGACACACCTTTGTCATTCGAGGCAGTGAGCATGGAGCCCATTTTCTACGGTGGACCCATCACTAGGTGTGGTGGACATGGGGCATGCTGTCTGAGGTAGACGCATCCATGTCATCTGGGGAGGTGGATACACCTGTGTCATTTGGGGTGGCTGAGTTGTAGTACGTTCCCTGAAGTGGACCCTTCTGTGTCATTAGGTGTAGCGTTCCCTACAGCACTCCCAGGAATGGAGATGGTTCTCAACTCCACTACACCAAGCCCCACGCGGCAAAGACTAATATGCAAGTGTTGAAAGACCCTGGGGTCTGTTGGGTGCCTGAGCACAGCTACTCATGAGGATATATCCCACATCCAGGCTGCAGCATCTTCTGCAATGACCCGTCTGGAGATGACCACTGGTATGGTATACACACCACAGCCACACACACCAAAGCTGTGGCCGGTGTATTCTCCTGCAACAGTCCCTCTAAAAAACATCACCAGTGTCCCCACCACAGTCATGTCTGTAATGGTTTCCTTAGAATGTCACCAGCATCCCATCATGGTTGCATGTCTGTAACGGTCTTGTGAAGACAGTCGCATGTTTGTAATGAAGAGACTCACCGGTGTCCCCCATCACTGCTGTGTCTGTAACAGTCTCCTGAAGACCGTCACCAGTGTCCTCACCATGGCTACTCTTCGGTAGTAAAGAACATCCCTAGTGTTCCCACCACGGACATATGTCTGCAATGGAGAACATCACCCGTGTCCTCATCACAGCTCCACGTGGAGAACAGTCTTCTGAAGACCGTCACCAGTGTCCCCACCATAGGTGCACATCTAGGCATGCTTTGCAATGGTGTGAAGAATACTGCTGCAGAGATGGCCCTTGGGGAAAAGACCACCCCTATCCATGCCTTGGCTGTGCCATGGATGTTTTCTTGTGAAGTCCCACCAGAGCACACCCCACTGCCACATTTTGGGCATGTTCCTCTGCAGTGCCCTCCTGAGGAGGCGTCTGCCATAGAATGACTAGGCACAAACCACTCATTAAAAAGACGCAAGATGACAGAAAACCACCTGTCCATGGGCTTGGGCTGAGAGGACACTGGGATCAACAAGGAGCTTTACAAGTATCTGTGCAGCTTCAGAAGATTCTGCTATTGTCAAAGATGAAACTAGGAGACAGATGAAGATGGTGTCTTAAAAGCTAGTTTTAACTGAAGGATACACCTCTGCTCTCTCCAGTCCAAAACGGCCTGGGGCTTGTTATTATTATTCTCAATCTGAGATTAGAAACACAGTCCTTGTGAATGTTTTAACAAGGTGCTACAGATTTGCGAATTTAGGGTCTGGGGGCCACTCGGGGGCCAAACGGCCTCTGCTGTGAGGTGTCCCATGCACTGCAGGTGTGGAGCAACAATTCTGGCTTCCACCTCTTCAAACCAGGGCCACCTCCCCGACCTGGCTGCCAACCAAGAACCTATCCAGACAATGTCCCTGGAGTGGGACAGAGGTGGGGACTGCTGAGGCAGGTGCACAGCTAGACTTTTAAAGCATCCTCCAGTAGTCAATTCTGACAACATACTACTCAGCATCATGCCAGGTCTCAAGTGCTGCGTGACAAAGATGTTCAACGCAGAACACCACAGAGTCCCAACAGTGTTCACGGTCACTCACGCCCAGGGCACCGCCCTCAGGATCCAGCCCTGGTCCCTGCACCAGTTGGCTCACCTCTTTGTCCATACTCTCTAAATCCTCCTTACAAAGTGTGTACAGCGGCATTGTCTCTGACATACTGGGCTGGCGTTTTCTTCTAGAAGGGCCAGGCTGCTCTTCGTCGGGGTTTTCGCGCACCTCTTCATCAAACAGCTGCTGCTGAAGTGGCTGAACAACTCTGCAATGAATTTTACAGGCCCCACATGAGGAAGGAGTTTGCAATGCACACCTTAGCACTGACTCAGCCCAGACCCTCGGCAGCTTAGCAGATACATATGGACAATTGGTACTTTAGCTCTGTGACAGTGTCAGCTCATTTCTGTTGGGGCACTTCAACTGTGGAGTGTGCCAGTGAGCCAGGAGGACAGCTGTGCCCAGGCTCAGACCTACGGGAGCTGCCACTCATCTTCTCTGACCAAAGCTGACCAGCCATGTGGTGTGGGCAGTGCCTGCCAGCTCCTCTGGACTCAGAACAAGGGGCACACAGTGTGACAAACAACTTCCCAGAAACCAGCAGGAAGAGCTGCTCAGGGGCCCTGCGCTCAAAGTAATTTCTCTCCTCCTAAGAGTACAGAAGCAGCTGGCTCCACGGACTAAATAAAACCCACTGTTTCACAAAGATAAAAATCTTTCTGACTAAACCCAAAAAGACCTCACAACAAGATGGACAGTGACTTCAACAATGGACTCAAGTATGTCACAGATGATGAGGACAGCACAGGAGATCTGTTGTTCATAGGTTTGCTATGCATCAATATTTGATTCGACGATACCTAAAAATAACAACTTCAGCACGTGGAAAACACTGCCATTCAGGGCTGGACCACTAAACACTACAACTCCTACGAAGTCGACCACTTCGGGCTGGACTCGCACAGGGTCTGCTCAGAGCTGCCTTCTTCCCTTCCAGACTCAGCTCAGAGCTTCTCCCAAGTCCTTGGCTGTTGCCAAACTCTCTTATGAGAATTCCAACACATGCGTATCCTCTAATCACTGAACTCTAAACGGCATGTATACTGATTACCTATGTTTATTACTCTCATCTCCACAATCTTAATAGAACCAAGTACACACCTTTTACTTACTTAATGACCTTACTACATTTCATATTCAGGTTCTTTGCCCTGTCAAGAGCATAGCAAGTATAAAAGTGGTGAAATCATCTTCTTCTTGTTATATCTTATACAAAACAAACCACCAAACCACAAGTCCCTGCCATTCAGCTGGAACCGCCTCCTAGCTGGTCCTCCCGAGGGTTTTGGGGACGTTGTAAAGTGCATGAGAGACTGCTCAGCTTCTTCTCATGGAGCCACTTGTGGATTCATGTCACTGGAGAGGTGTCACCTTTGAATGAGCAGAGCGTCATGGACTGTGGCACCAGAGCTCCACAGCACTATCTAGAAAGCAAGAGGCCCTGTTGTTCCTTTTCTGTAGCATTTTATATTGCCTCAAAATGTCCTAGTTTCAAAAGCAACTTAATGCTTACAGTATCAAGTCGTAAAATGCAGAGAATCAGGAACAATGCAATGACCACAGCTACTCCCTTGTCCAAGCAGTATGGCTGGTACCAACTGCCTTTCTGTGCGTCTCCTCCATCCATACCAGCTTATGTACGATGTCACATCACCTGTGCTGCCTCAGAGCCTGGTGTCCACCCTCCTGTTTTTCCTGCATGCCTGTGTGTCCATTTGGGAACAGGTGCTTCCACCTTGTGGCAGTGCTTGTTGTAGTCATAGGACCATGTATTTGTTCAGATGGTTTCTCTCACATTTCAAGTGTTTTCACAAATGGGCCTAGAGCTCCAGGTAAGCAGGCTTGGTTTCTGTCTCTCCATTATCCAAAGGCATCCACAGTTATGGACAGTGAGCTCACCTGCTGTTGCTCTGGTGAAGGTGATGGGGCGTCATGTCTGCCTCTCCATTATCAGCTATGCTCACTGAGACCAGCTACCGCACCCTGTGCTTCTTTCTTTACTTCTGCTCACTCACTTCCTTCCAGAGTTCTGCAAACTGGATCTCCTGGTTGTGCCCTCAAGCTTCTAGTGACTTCTGTGCACTGCCAGCCTGGACACCTAATAACCCATCTTTTAGTGAACTTTAGAGACTGCTTTTCAGTTTTCAAAAGGTCTCTAGATCACAGGCTGTTACTTCTTGGTGAAATTTTCAAATCATTTCACCCATTTTTAGCGTCCTTTCTTCTATTTCAACACACAGTTGAAATGTTTTAATCTCCAATGAGACAACATTGTTTCTGCTGCCCACTGCAACTCCTGGCTCCCAGTGGCCATGACTACCAGTGGACACTGTCCGCAGTCGACGGAAAGTTGTGAAGGGTCTAAAGGCGGGGTTTTCCTCCAGCAGATGGAGTACCATCTCCCTTAAGCCCGGCTTATGGCTCTGTGGTGTTAAATGACTGATCTGTCGAGAGCTCAGCGGAAGGCCTGGTGTCCGTGAGCCAACCCACCGCAGCAGGGCTCTAATTCTTCCCGTCACTGGCCCATGGCGGCCCTTACACTTTCCCTCCACTTGATGCTTGTTGCTGAGGCTCCCACCCAACAGGTTCATCTTAAGGACATTAAAGGCATCGGACGATGATCCCACAGTCCCTCCTCTCTGGGACTCTCACGCAGCAGCCGCCGCCGCCACTGCCCCTATGCCTCAACCCATGTCCCCCACAGTATGGAAAGACCACAGCTTCCATCTGGCCTCACGTCCCTGAAGCCATCACTCTGGGGAACTGCAGTGTGGTCTTGCCTGGGTTGGCTGCCCTCCAGTGGCATCCACTGCTGTCCCCTGAAGCCTGCTCACCAGCTCTGATGGTTGTTTCAGTTAAGAGGGTCAATTCAATAAAAGCTCCCCTCTCCGAGCCATGATCTCTCCCAAACTGACGGCTGCCATCAGGTGCCATCCACAGGACTCACTGCCCCTATGAGAAGATTAGAGCTGGGCCCCTTCCTGCACGGCAGTAGGCTCACTTGGAAAGGGCTGCAGGGCAAAGGGAATGTGTTTTACGAAGCAGCACAGCCAGAGGGCTGTCGCAAGAGTGCACCTAGGCTCTGAGAGCACATGTCTGCCGCCCAGTTCCTCAAGTCATCTTGTAATTTTTTGTCCCAAAGAGTTTGCACACTGCCTTCCTTCAGAATTCCCAGTGAGGTGCAGTACTGAGTTGTGTGCCTCAGCCATTGGGATCTCTTCTCCTGTGGACTCCTGCTATGACAGCTTTGGTGCATGAACCCCCTGAGAACACAGCTGTGCTTCCTGTTGTATACCTTGTACATACCTGCGTTCTCATGTGCTGTGGTCTCACAGGGCCCAAATCTGTAGGCTTTAATAAGCTTTGACAGAGGGCTTACCAGAAGACAAAGTCTGACCTCCAAGGCCCACCCATTTTTCCAAAAAAACACACCCTCTGTCCAGAGAACCCATCCGGTTTTCTTTATTGTTTTATCTGCTTTCAATCAAGAATTTAACAATTACCTTTTCCCTGGAAAACTTGACATTAAACTACCAAAACCATACGAAATGTAAACTCCAACTCTAAGACACCTCAATTTCTCAATTTCAGTAACAAACTTAAAAACTCTACATCATCAAATTTAACTCAGCAGTTATGTGCAAACAACCTATCAGCGCTGCGCCCTGTGGTGAGGCTGCAATGCAGTGAGAATACGGACGTGGTGTGGTAAGCGCGTGGTGTGGCCGGGAGTGTGGTGAGGGTATAGTGAGGGCATGATGAGGACTGGTGCGGTGTGTTGTGGCTGAGAACATGGTGTAAGCAGTATGGCAAAGGTGTGGTGAGGTGAGGACGATGCGTGGGCAGTGCTATGCAGACTCCCTCCCCCCAACAGGACAGGAGCTCACACCTCAGTATCTGCTGGGAGCACCAGGGTCAGTCTCTGCTGTGCACACTTGGGGCGGCTTGCCCACCACAGGCCCCCAGAGCCCCTCTGTGTTGAAGTATAGCTCTCCATCTGGCCCACACCTGATAGAGACCCTCCTGAAGTGCACCCATTGCTGACACCCTGACCACCTTCCACCCAGGACACACTGAGAAGGAGCGGATGCTGGATGGTAATAAAAAGTACAGAAAGCCTGTCTCAAACAGCTGAAAAGAAGATGATAAGGTCAGGTCTTTTTGAAAAATCTGTCTTTGAAGAGTTACATACAGTTCTTTGGACAGTATTATAGGTAAAATAGTACTTTAATCCTAATTCCAAATGCTTTCTAATGAAAAAGAACAATTTTTTTCTAAATGACTGAATTTGCTTGATCTCACACCCCCATCTCAGACAGAAACAGACTTTATTATGTGCCTGAGAAGTGCTTTCAATTAGTCAGCAATTAACTAAGCAGCAGTTCTGGACCTAGGGAATGACCAATCGCCACTCTGCCCTTGTTTCCTAAGAGAGAACTTTAAGTTCATGTGCCAAAAATTTTAAGAGATTTGTGAATACTGCACAGAACTTATCTTGACAATACTCTTCACAAATATCTGAAACAGGATAAAAGCTAAGAGCAGAGTCATGGAGAGTGGCTTCTGCAGAGGAGACAGCACTCCAGGAAGAGTGTATACAAAGGACGCCCATGCCGCTGTCACCAGGAGCCTCAGTCCAGTGGAGAGAAGTGTACAGACACACTGAACAGCACACCACAGTAGCTAGAGCAGTGCCTCGCAGAAGCCTTTGCACCAACTTGCTGCTGCATTTACATGATTTAAAAATTAACAAAACCACCACACTGTTGACACACCCAGTCCAGCTACTAGGATGGACATCAGCCCGAGAGGGTTGCTCCAGTGCCTGAGTGAGGCTGCCTGCCTTCTGCAGCCCTGGCCTCAAGCAGGCCACCACACTCGGGCCTGAAACGGAACTTGTAAAAATGTGCTGAACTGCAAACTTTCTATGCTACAAAGAATGTGATTTCCTTCTTTTTTTTTTAAATTTTGTGTGCGTGTACCGTCAAATCAGATCTGACTGGTACAGGAGGATATTGCGCCTCCTTCTCCGGCAGAGCATCTGGTGGATTCGAACCGTGTTCCTCTGGGATTGTAGTGCAGCTTCTTGCCACTAGGCCACCAGAGCTCCCCCAAAGAATGTGATTTCTAAGAGAGGTACTACAGATAAACCTTTGAAACCTGTAAGTGAAGGCCAAAGAAACCACTCGAGGTGAAAGGAAGGTGAACAGTGTGACACAAGCAAAGTGAGTAGGAACCGTGGAGAGGAGAGAGCAACACTTCTCACGTCTGAGGTAACCCGAGAAAAAGAAGAGATAAATGAGCATACCATCACTGAAGAAAACACAGGCCTTACAAGCAACAATGCCTTCAGGACAAATGACAGCTGGCAGAGAGCACCCAGGGCACTGTGGTCCCATCAGGAGGCTTGTGTGCAGCACCCACCAGGCCTCTCTGGAGTGGCTTCCTGAGGGCGGCACCTGAGGGTGGGTCAGCCTGAGTTGGCTCATCCACTTGTGCTCTAAGCAAGCATCAGAGAGAACTGTGACAGGACAAGCATCTAAGTATGAGCTGCTGCGTGTCCCAGGGCTGTGATCATGCTGGTCAGTGCAAGGTGCAGGCCCCCTCATGGGCTTTCCAGGAGGTTGCCCCTTCTAGGAAAGTTGGCAGCTGAGCCACCACCATGAATCCAGAAGTGGAAAGCACTACTCGCGCAGTATGTGGGTCTCGTGAGAGTCTGTTTCACCCCTGCTGCCATGTTGGAAGGGGTGTGAATACAAAGAGAAGGGCTGACCCTAACCACGGCCTTGCATACGTCACTGTCGGCACGTGGCCTCTTCCTACCCAGAACCCACAGTCCACATGCGGTCTGTCGTGGAAGCCACTCCTGGTCTCTGAGTGGCTGTGAGATGTGCCCATACCTGGGGTCCCACACAAGGGACGTGGAGGGACGCACTCCCTGAGCAAGAGTCACCATGAGGCCAGAGCCCCCTGGAGATGCTGTGACATGGCAAGCGCAACCCCTCCAATGCCTACCTGAAGGAGGTGTGCTCCCCGTGCACTGGCAGTGATGAGGGTGGTGTGGGGGCCTGCGAGGACACAGGCAGCACTGTGGACTGCGCATTCTTCCGGATGAGCCTTCCGGTGCTGGCATCGTAGATGCGGGCCTCAGGGACAGGCGGGCTCCGCGGGTGGACCGGTGTAGGGTGGAACAAGGTCGTCTGGAAGGCACCTTGTCTGTCGGGGAAGGCTGCAGGGCCAGTCTCCCTGACAGACAAGTATGTGTGTGAGGGTCCCAGAACTGCTGGCCTCAGGGTGACCAACCAGCTCATTCCCCAGGACTTCCAGTCCCAGAGCCCATCGCGCACCTCCAAGCTTAGGTGGCGTTCTTGGACAGCCGTGGTCTTCCCTAAGGAGGAAGGTGTGCCCAGCCCAGGTCCCACTTCGCCCAGGTGCCAATTCCATCAGAGGCTAGCCCCAACCAGGGCCAGTGCCCGCCTTAACCCCACAGCTTCAGCACCCTGCTTAGTACCTTTGTGCTCTGGTGTCTGTTTCTGAATCCTTTAACAAAAACAGTGAATTCTCTGACCTCACTGCTGTTCCCAACAGGTCAACACATGCCCTCCTCCCTCTGCACTCCTGTCTGGAGCACACCATAGCTGTGCGGTGCCCCCCCATGGGGAGAGCTTGGTGCTCTCTCAGCATGTTCTCTTTGGTCCACTGTTATAGGAGATGTTTCAGGGTAGGAGGAGTGGAGGCAGGAGTGGACTCCTAGCTGTGGGAAGTAGAGGCAGAGGGACAAGGACGGAGGAGGAAGACACGCACGTGTTGATGTGGATGGGGCCTGTCCAGCAGCTCTGGCGGCCCTCCCTCTCTGTGGGTCTCATTATGCTAACCAGGAATGTATGTGCAGAGGCTGGCCTGCCTGGCTGCCTGCCAATGTCGCAGACAGTGGCCAGCGATGGGTGCTCACCTCTGCGTCCTGGCATAGTCGTCCCGGAGTGGGAAGAGTCGCTCCTCCACCTTCTCCCATCTCTCCAGGCAGCTCCACAGCCAGTCGGGGTTGACCACATGCAGGTGCCTACACTCCTGGGCCTGGCGAACTTTCTCGGTGCCTGCAGGGAGAACACTGGTCAGTCCAGGCTCATAGGTCCTGATGCCAGGACATGGGGTATTGCATCTGAGGGCTCCTGGGCAAGGACTCCACTCAAGTGGGGACTCCTCTGAGGGTGATTTCTTAGCGTTGGTGTCAAACCTCTGGCTCTCTTTCCTTAGGTCACATCTCTGTGGCCTAAGTTCACCCGGTTGAAAAGTGATCCTCTCACTCACCACTGCTGCTGTCCCAAGTTGGCGACCATTTATGACATGTCCTGTGTCACAACTTCACTGCCATGTCCACTCAATGGGTCTTCTCTGAATCCTGTCAACTGTCTCCATACGACCACCTGTTCACCTGCCTCTGCCCACCTTCAGAGCTGCCTTATTCAAGGTCATCGTGTCCTTCAGGAGGAGTGCGACCTGAGCCCAGTTAGTATAAAACCTTGTCTCTACATTCCCTCTCTGCACAAGTCTAACTTGACACGCTGGGACGTGGCTCTGTCGGCATATCTGACATTTTTTAGAAAGGCCCTTCCTCTATAACCATCAAGTCTAGAGCCTCACAAGCAGCTTACGCCCTTCTGGAAACCCCACAGGCCCAAACATAGGCCCAACTCCCACCATAATCTGTCACCACTATTTCAGACACGTGCTATTTTCTGGATCCCGGAGAAGCAGCCAAACCAGCCACAAGAGGATTTTACTATGTCTGTCAAGAAATGAAGTCATCCTGAGCAGGTGAGGAGAGGTCAGTGCTGGAAAAGGACGTGATCTCGAGCGCGTGAGGAGAGGTGGCTGTTGGGTGAGGACGTGATCCTGAGTCTCTGGAGGCAGGTCCTCATTGCTGACTCAGTCAATTCCCACTGCGCCCACTCCTGACCTCCCTTGGCACTCGGTCCAGGCTGCAAAGGGAGCCCCCGACCCTGCAGCACAGCCACAACTCGGTGAGAGTAGGTGCTGGTATAAGCACACAGTATGTGCTGGGAAAGCAGCGTCGCCCAATCCCATAATCATCGACTACTCCACACTCAGGCGCTGGGAATTCAAGCCCAAAGAAACAGGAATGTGAACTATGACACGGGCGGCACCCCCCCCAGCCTGGCCCGAGGGAGGGCCGCTACTCACCAGCCCTAGCTGCAATCAGGTGGGTTGGCCTGTTGGGGTCGTCAGGGCTCAGCACGAGGTTGGTGAGGATCCTAGCCCCAAGGGCTGTGGCATGGTAGTGCTCCCGGGTCTTCTCCACAGGGAAGTTGGTAGGGTGCAAGCCGCTGAAAATGATGGCGACGTCAGCAAGCACTTTGCTTTTCAGTTCGGGGACGATCTTGCGAATGTCTGGGGCTTCCTCGGTCTCCTTGTTGAGGTACCTGTCATACTTGGCATAGTAGTCAGTGTGCACCCGGACGAGGATCTCCTCAAGGTGGACCAGGTGATCGTCGTCATCAGCATCTGCCTCCTCCTCTTCCTCCTCCATGCTCTGGTCGAGGGACTCACCCACAGTGATGCCTGACTGCTCACTGTTCTGGGACTCGGTCTCAGCCTCCTTTCGGTCAGCACAGCCGTTCCCCAGGTCACAGAGGCCACCCTGCTCGCTCTCCTCTGGCACTTCAAGGTCAGGGCCTTTGTCCTGCAGGTGGCCTGATGGAGTTGTGCCTGTGGGCTTCTCCGTCCCAGGCGGGGCACTTGCACTCTTCCCTGAAACCCTAGGCCTCCTACGTCGTCTCTTCCTCTCACTGTCACTGTCGGAGGCAGAGGATGATGACCTGCGGCCATCGAGCTCGCTGTTGCTCTCGCTGTCACTAGACAAGTCAAAGTCCAAGTCATTTCCAGGGGTGCTGTGGGCTGACAGCTCTGAAGACACCAGGGGCTCCTTCCCGCTGACCAGCTCACCGCTGCTGGCCACAGCACCCAGGGTGCAGCGTGAGGGGTCACCGTCATCCACTCTTTCATGGGAAGGTGTGTCCCTGCTGGACAGGTCCTCCGGCCCTGCCTTGGTACCATTAAGCTCTGTGGGGGATTTCCCGAGGCCATTGCTTTGCTCTGTCCCTGCAGGCTTTCCTTCCTCAGGGTCCTTCCCAGACAGCATGTGCTCCGGAGCCTCAGTCCCTTTCGAACAATGATTCACTGAAGACACATGAAAGACAAAGTCTCATCATACAACAGTCATGCCAGTAATGCTTAACAAAAAGCTGCCTGCCTCTTCTGCAGTTTAACCAGGAGTCAGAAGAGGTTTTTCTATAAAGGGCCACACAAAATGCTCTACGACACAGGCCATATAGCATCTGTTATTTACCTCCTTGAACAATCAACAGGAAAACACAGAAACACATGTCCTTGGAAAAACACAGAAACCATCCTGAGTGTGCAGGTTTTCGTGGGCCCAGCTGCTGGACCCTGCTGTGGGCGGTTCTAGACTTTTTTTTCTAGTGAATGACACCAGTAACTGTGTGGCCCATGGCTCTGTGCTTGAGAACCAAGCACACAAAGGTGCTGCCCAAGTGTTCTCCAATTGCAGCAGCCCTGGACTGGCTTTCAGATGGGGAAAATCTTCACAGGAGGCAACACATGAAGTGTTAATGTCACCGGGGCTCAGCAGAGAAGCCTGAACTCAAGTTTTAAGTCAGGTCTAAAAGAGTATGCAGAAGTGAGGCTCTGGGGCAGGGCCCACTGTAGCCCAGGAGTGATATGAAAGACGTGAGGTCGGATCTCCATGGCTGAGGGTGTGTTTGTTAAAGAGCCTGACAGGAAGTAGCTACATTAAGTAGCATCCTTTACATTGATTTACTAGATCAGAAAAAAATGCCTAGGTTAGTACTAGTTTTTTAAGAAAAAATTTCACATTTTTAAGCATTACTTAAATAAACTCAACTACTTCTCTAACTGTTGACTAAAAAAAAAAAAACATACCACCATCTCACATTGAATTTTTTTCCCTAACCCTAACCCTCACACATTGACTGAATCTTGAACTTCCAGCAATCCAAACAGAGAACAGATGTGGTAAGTGGTTAAGGACAACAGACAGACGCAGCCACCTACCCTTCTTCCTCATTGGCACATCCCGGGAAACAGGTGGAGCATTGATGTCACCTGTGCCCTGGAAGTAGACATATTTCTTCACGGTTATGAGATTGGGGGCAAACTTCCAGACATCTTCACGGTCATCAATAATGCAAACCATTGAGTCACCACAAGGAAAGAGATTTCTAGAAGAAAAAATGTATCAGCACTATCAGCACTTTAAGAAAAAAAAATTAAATCACTAAAAATTGGGATAATGTTTAATTTGGTAAGCATAAAAGTTCGAGATTGTAATCTGTGTAACCCCTAGAGGTCTAGAGGTTTGGGTCTCTGTACGCCTTTGTGTTGACCACGACAGGCAGGGCAAGGCAGGGGCCAGCATCTCCAGAAGATGCAAAGGATTGCCATGGTTCTCAAATGGACTTTAACATGCAAAAGCGCAGCGAGCTGTTGGGAGGATGAGCAGGCAAGAACATACCTGAGGTTCCCTGTCTTAGAGAAAGGGTCGATGCATTCATCTCGTGATAATATTCGGTGAGAAAAAAGCTTCTTTTCAGGATCTAAGAAGCCTTTTAAAAGGAAAAGGGGTAGAGTTTAAAGGTGGAGGTTCAGTTCACATCACTGCTGCACACAGTATCAGCAGAGGGGACTCTGCACACTCAAAGGAAAGAACACGTCATCTGCCAGCACCCACTCTCCTGTCCTGGGGACACAGCTGCTTGAGGACCTGGCTACTCTGGTCGGCTATTTTCTACAAACTATGCAGTTAAGTTTTGGACAGTTACAAACAGCTGAATCTGGAGACCATTTAGGGACTTCTGACAACATTGTTATTGATCCATGAACATGGAATGTCTTTCTGCTTATGCTTTCCCTTTTCAAGTTTTCCCTAAGTATTTTGAAATTATATTATTGTGTCCTTTGGGCCCTTCTGTACTGTAAATGATTCTGGAGAGTGACTTTTGTCACCCTCCTCGCTGACTGCATCCTGGCTGCTCTGAACACATTTCTGTTATAATAATTGTTGACAATCTGCTCCAGAGAGATCAAGAGAGATTGACAGCCTCTGTTGGGTCTGCCAGTCTGCTTTTCTGCCAGAAGGTGAACTCAGAAGTTTATTAACTTTTATACTAGCTTAAATGAAGTTTTCTTAATGTCACCCTCAAATAATTTGTTAGTGTAGACAAATAAAGTTTATTTTGTATGCTAACATGTACCCAGAGTCCCACTGAGCATGTTCATGAATTCTAATAGTTGTTTGGTGGGTTCTCTGGAGTTTCCTACAGATAAGATCAAGCTATTGTGTCAGTCCTGCTGAGGTGTCTAAGCCGAACTTCTGCACCGTTGAGCAGAAGTGGCCTAACACTGGGTCTCCTGGCCTGCCTGCAGGGCAGCACAGAGTCTACTGTGAATGATGGTTCCCTCATGGGTACCGCTGTTAGGCAGACAGTGCCCCTCATCTAGTCTGCAGGGCAGCATGGAGTCTACTATGAATGGTGGGATTCTTACAGGTACTGCTGTTAGACAGACAATGCCCCTCAACTAGTCTGCAGAAGCCCAACAGGTGCTAGACTGTGTCAGATTCTTTTCATGTCTCCTAAAATGAACACGTTGTTCCATTCTACTGACGTGAATGATTGTTAAGACATTAACTCAACCTTGCATTCTGGGGATAGACCTTATCTGGCCAAAACGGAAAAGGAGAGATGAATGCCTTCTGAGAGTGTTCAAAACTGCCCTACTCCCTCACGCCCTCTCCTATCACTGACTTTGTTATAAGGAAGAGCTTACTGACTCTCTTCTCAGAATCACTAGACACAGGAAATACAACTGCCCATGAGACTAAGGTGCACAGGGTCTTGGTCAGCCCCTTTAAGTCCAGAGGCTCTGCTTCCCACCTGCAATGGTGTGGGCGTACAGCCGGCTGCTGAAGGTAAAGACATGCAACTCGTACAGCTTGGCCACCTTCTCCAGGAACTCCCTGCAGTGAGGACGCAGGCGTGTGTGCAGCATCGGCTCTCCCCGGCCCAGCTGGAAATGGAATATGCCCTGAAAGGGATGGGGCAAGTCAGCAAGACCTTCCCAGGGGACTTATTTGATGCTGCCAGACTCCCTCTTGCTATCAAGTCAGTCCTGAGTCTCTGTGACCTCTCTTGGGTTTCCGAGGTCATCCATCTTAATGGGAAGAGACTGGCTAGCTTTGGAAGAAGGCTGGTGGATTCGAACCTCCAGAGACTCATGGCTTTAAAGCTAGCAGTGTAACACACTATAGACTTTATCACCAGAGCCTCTTAACAGTGAACATAAAAATGTACATCAAAACCAAATTAAAACAAGTTCACCTTGTTAGAAGTCTCTAACATCTTTAACAAAAGCTGCAATTCTCTTAAAGGACAGCTTCCTTTAGGAATTTAAATGAATTCTTCTGATCTTGTTCATCCTCCATTTTCTCAATGAAAAAAGACTGTCACTAAGCACAAGGAGCTCTTGTGCTGCTCCAGTGGTGAGACTGCCCTGCCATTCCCACGGCACGTGGCTCGACTCAAGCCTGTTCCGCAGGACAAAGAAGAGCAATCTCCTCCCATGTAGTTTACGGTCCCTGAAAACCCGCTGGAAGGCCAACTAGGGGTCAATTTCTGACTTGATGCTACACAAGAAGCAATAACAACAACAAAGGAAAAAATGAAAACAAGCAACAACAAAGCCAACAAAAAAGCTCAGTTTGTTGTTGGATTAGAGCCATTATCTCTGAAACAGTCAAACCCTCTCACCATGAATCTGTTCTCCGGAGAGATTGAATTTTATATTTTCTCTAACTTTATAGATCATTTTTATCATTCTTAAGAGTAAAAAAAAAAAAAAAGTCCAATAGTTACAATTAAAACTTTCCTTTACAATGTAAATTCATGGTAAAGATATTTAGTATAACTAAATTATACTTTTTAAAGGGGAAATAAGGTAACTTTTTTGTTATTCTACAACAATTAAAAGCCTACCTCTGTATTTCCAGACTAAAAGGACTGAAGCATCTCTCCCATGATGCAGGTGGTGGCCTGAAGGAGCACGAGGAGGTGTGGGTGTGGGGAATAAACCCAGAGAAGGCTTTCATTGGCTGCAGAAGCGAATTACAGGGCTCCCTGGGGAAAGTGCAGAGGATGGGGAGCTGACCAGTGACGGAGCATAAGGGCTTTTCTGTGCCCGTGATCGTCACGAGGACATATCTGCCCTCCAAATCACACAGGCTGGCTAATGTTATGCTAAAACAATTTAAAAACACCAGCCTACAAAAGCACAATAAAATCCAAGCCAGGCAAGGTATTACACCCAAGTACACACAACACACCCCCTAGTTTTTTCACAGTGTCTGTTTCTGGAAAAACATTTAATAAGTGAAGTAGGCGGGAATGAAACAAGCTAAAATTCTAAAATTTAGCAACAGATTATAAAGAATGGAACACACACGTCTAAGAGATGCTCCAAAACACACATGAGTAATGCATTTAAAACAGAAACTGTGTTTAGGTGACAAATACTGCTGGTCACCAGCAAGGACAGATTCCATCCATGATGCAGCCAAACACAGCCAAGGGGCATGTGCTTTCCTGCAGAAGGTCGGGATCATGTGAGAGCCACAACAAGAAAACGGAAATGCCCTGTGTTTTCTTGAGTATGTCATTCTGATAAAATCACCTTCACGAAACCTTTCACAGAATAATCGTACTCTTCTGACACTGCCAGGCACCAAAGAGTTCTGCCTCAGGGGTAGTAGAATGATTCCACCAGGATTCAGCAATGTAAATTTTTATTTTGTCTTGTAACTCAGTTCCTCAGTCCATCTGAGTTCCAGGCCCTGCTGGACGTCCTGCCTGCCTTATAAGAAAGAACAGATGGCATGCAGGCCCAGGCTTCCTGTGGGCCACAGATGTACCTTGTTGGACATCTGCTGACAGTGCTGCTCCGTCGTATGGATCAAGGTCTGGTCTAAGTCAACCATGAGCACCAGCTTCCTGTTACGATGCAGCCGCTGCTGATCTTCCCGTCCCAGCTGCTCAGCTTGCTAGAATGAAAAGTGACAAAACGTGTTTGAACCAAAACAAGACATAAGCGGATAATAAAAGAATTAGACTGAACCAAAACAAGACATAAGCGGATAATAAAAGAATTAGACGTGGAGTTCTAAGCAGTGTTGACGACCCACCCCCTTCCAGGTGAACCCCTGGGAGACCTAACCACTCACTCTACAGCCGCTCATCACTCAGGTGCTGGAGCACAACTGTGCAATAAGGGTTTCCCCAGTTAGACCCTAAGTCTTCTTCTGAGTTACCTTTGGGGGATCTGAACCTCTGACCTGGTGGTCAGAAGCAGGGACTTCCTTCTATCCTGTTGCTGTTGTCAACAAAAGAGCTGAACTCTGTCTTAGCCTATGCCATCCTTATTATCTCTAACACATTTGAGCCCACTGTTGCATTTACTGTGTCAATCCATCTCATTTTCCACTGCAGTCCCACCACTTTCCCAAGCATGATATCCCATTCCAAGGAACAACTCCTAGCAACAGGTCCAAAGTTTGTGAGATGTAGCTTCATCTTCCTTGCGTCTAAGGAGCACTCTGACTGTACTTTTCTCAGGATTTATCTATTTGTTTTCCTAGAAATCCCCACCACAACTCAAAGACAATTCTTCTATCATCCTTATTTATCATCCAGGTTTCAGATGTATAGCAAGTGATAGGAAAGACTATGGCCTGACTCAGGCACACCTTAAGTCTTCAAACTGATATCAATGCTCTTCAGTAATTTGGAGAGGTCTGACAGTGGAGCTGCTAAATGTTATGTCTCTTGATTTTCTGACTGCTGGGTATGAAGGGCATTGATTGTGGATGCAAGTAAGATAAAGTTGCTGACAATTTCAATCTTTTCTCCATCTATCATGATGTTTGCTTACTGGTGCAGTGGTAAGGATTCTTGTTTTCTTTATGTTGAGATGCAATCTATATTTAAGGTTGCAGACTTAGATTCTCTGCAGTGTTTCACATCCTCCTCACTTTCAGCAAGCAAGACTGTGTCATCTGCACAGTACAGGTCTTCCTTCAATCCTGATGCCACATTCTTCCTCACAGAGTCCAGCTTCAACTGAAATGATTTGCTCACTGTACATAATGAACAGATATGGAGAAAAGATACAACCTTGACGTACACTTTGCCTGATTTTAAAACATGCAGTGTTCCCCTTGCTCTATGCGTACGAGAGTTTTTAGTATTTGGGGATTCCTCTTCACCCAATGTTAGCCAGTTTGTTTTGATCCATAGAGTAAAATGCGTTTCCATAATCAATAAAACAAAAGACATACTTCTGGTATTCTCTGCTTTCAGCCATGATCCACCAACATCAGCAATGATATCCCTCATATCACAGTCTCTTCTAAACCCAACTTGAACTTTGCCATTTTTGAATGATCTTCAGCAATATTTTGCTTGTATGTGATATTAATGATATTGTTCAATAATTTGCATATTCTGTTGGATCACCTTTCTTAGGAATGGGAACAAATATGGATCTTTTCCACTGGCCAAACAGCTGTCCTCTAAAATTCTATCTTAGGAGTTGTCATTTCAGAAAAAACTGGTGTTGGTTTTAGGTGCTAAGCCCACTCTCCAACTGAGAAAGAACACTCATTTTGTGCCGTTCTTATCATCCAGTTGCACTTGAACTCACCGTTGCAGCCTCAACCCAGCTCACTAAAGGGCTTTCTTTCCCTGGCCCCCGATTTTACCCTGGAGCATTATGCACTGGACTTCTAATCAGATCCAATCTACCAGCTGCTCCATGGGAAAAAGGTGAGGCAGTCTGCTACCACTCACATTTACAGCCTTAAAACCCATGAAGGAGCATCAGAAATCAGGACCAAGCAGATGGCAGTGTTTTTGGGGTTGTGTTTTTCCTTTACCAAGCATGACGTCTTTTTCAGGAACTGGCCCCCTCAGCTATGTTGATATTTTCTGTGGCCCTCCCCTCAGGTGAGTTACTTCTGCCATCAAGCAGGATTTACCTCGGAGCTGACCATCAGCTCAGGGACGCTGTGCACCATGGACACCGTAGCTGTGGAAAGTGGTGCCCGCTGCCGTCCGTTCTTGCTCTGCAACCTTTGTATGGAAAGAGGAGAGTTACTGATGTATTCTAGACCAAAGATCATGGCAGCGCAATCAAGTGCACACAGGATGGTTTAGTTCATGTCTTAACTGACAGACACATTCTACCAGCTTAGAGGCCTCTTCACCATCAGAAGCCACCTGAAAACAGGCTTGGAATCAGCGAGCTGATGGTCACTGACAGTCCTCCATGCTGGCTCAGGAGAAGAGCACAGCACCCGTGTCAGGGGCTGATGGCCCAGAGGCAGAAGCCACCATTGAGGAAGCAGCAGCAGCGTGCGCTGCACTGCTCCAGCACAACAGGACACCCTAGACTCCCAGAAAATGGGGCAAATAAAAAGGGCTATCTTCTGGGGAAACTGAGTGTCAAGTGCAAGTCCCATGAAGAGAAGAAACAACGCTACTCGTCATTAGTCTTTCCCTTCCCTAAGGTCAACTCTCCCAGCAGCACTTACTGTGTTAGGTCTTGGCCACACTCGGCACACAGCCCCTTCATGACCACGGGGTGACTGCATCCCTCCAGTCTCAGCAGGACAGCTCTGCAAGTAGATGGAAACACCATTGCCAGCATGCTCAGTGGGGACAAGGAAATTTGAGGGCGGCTGTGGCTCTATCCTAAGCAACCCTGGGATCTCGTTTTGTATCTGTTAAGTGAAGGCATTAAATCTCTGTGTCACTAGTCTTGCGCATAGTATGGCTGAGAAAGGAAAGCCTTGGGATGATGTGACTCTTCTAACAGTTCTAATAAAGAATTTATAAAACCTCAAACCTTGTTAAACACTGTACGAAATAACTAGTATAATACTAATAGAAGACTAGTAAGTTATCTCCTACACGTACATGAAGGTTATCCTTCCAGTAAACTTCCTGATAGAACCATTATAATTCCTGATTTTATATACAAAAATGGAAATAAAAACTCACATTATTTATAATAGTTCCAAAGAAAATTAAATACTTCTGTATAAAACATGTGCAGGATTCTGTTTGCTGAAAATCATTAAGACAATGATGAAAGAAATCAAAGAAAACAATTACTGGAAAGACACACAATGTTATACACACCAGAAAATCCAACTCAGGAAAGATATTCACACTGCCCAGTCATTTATAGATTTGATGCAATTCTTAGCAGATTATTTTTAATAGTCACAAAGAGGTATATTCTAAAATTTATATAGAAAAGAGCACAGAACCTACAACAGCTCAGAAATCCTGAACAAGGCAACTACAATGAGAGTACTCAGTAAGTCCGGTTTCAAGACTATATAGTAAGCTATAGTAATCAAAACAGTAAGATGAATGGAACAGAACAGAGAACTCAAAAGACCCACACAAATGTGCCAGCTGAGCTCTGACAATGATAGAAAAGGAATTCAAGGAAGAAAGACTTTCCCATAAACAGTGTGGGAGTAATTGGACTTCCCTAAGTCAAACCCCCCATAAAACCTTCTCCTAAGTCTCACACCTCAGAAATTTTTTTTTCTCAATTTGAAAGCACTGTTTTATTAACTGACTAGATTACAAAAAAGAATCATGGCTGATACCTTAGTTCATTCTTCTGATATGTCTGTTGATCTGGTCTTCCCGGTTGCCAGCATCTCCACCTTCTACAAAATGAGTGGTCTTTTTCTTCATTCCACCTCGTGGAGAAGATAATTTGAATGGCCACAAGAAGTTGTTTGCTTCCTTGAAGTGTTTGCCAACAGTATAGATCTCATGAATCAGATCCTCCATGCAGATGATACCATATTTACCAAGAGATCGTGCAATCAAAGTGTTGTCTGTCAGAGCAATTCGCTTATCAATTTTGCCATAACCACGCTTATAAATCAGTTCATAGACAGACTTCAGGTTTGGATATCCCCATGCAATATACAGTTCCACAATCCTCAACATGTTAATTGAAGCTTTGTTGAGTTTAACAAAGGTGCCATTGAAGATCTGGCGAAGGCGAAGGAGCTGTAACACCTTACGAACCTTTGGGCTCACACCACTGATAGCTCTGATCCTGATGACGAATGCCAGCTTGGGTTCTGCGGGTACACAGAAGTTGCCAGCTTTCCTTGCCATCCGAGCCGTCCGAATCTCAGTTCTGTACATCTGCCTGTATTCTTTGTGATAGTGCTTAGCTTTTTCATAGATAAGCTTCCTTCTTGCCTTTTGAAGCATTTTTTTGGCAAACTTCTTTCTAAGGTGCTTGACCCTTAATTCTGCGAAATTCCTTCGCTTTTTCTTAAGGGTTTCTGGCACTGCAGGAACCTTCTTTTTCTTCTCCACGGCAGCCTCCATGGTTCCAAGCGGAAAGTAAGAAAGCACCTCAGAAAAATTAATCCAAAGTGGATCGTAAACTTAAGTGTATCAGAGAAAATCCTCAGATCTTTAGGATCTAGGGCTTGCCAAATATTTTTTTATTTTATCAAAACACAAAAAAATCTGTAAAAAACTGATAAGAAAAAAATCTCATGAAAATTAAAAATGTGCTTTGCAAAAAACTCTTCTGAGGAGGATGAAAAGAAAACCTATGGATTAAAGTTGCCCATCATTCCATTTCTCTTGTGCCCATAATGCCATCTTCCTTGGCAACACTTACTTTTCCAACTTCCACACCACCCTAGAAGTACCACCTTCCCTCTCTGCCAGCACTTTACTCTCAATGAATCATTGCCCGGCACTGCTGGCTTGGGGAAGGTATCCTCCTCAACGCTGGCTTAGTGCCTTCCGCAACACGGTCCCAGCTCCCTTCCCCAGGTTTACTCTCTGCAAGCAGCTCAGGATTCACACTCAGATCATGCTGCCCGCCCCTTCTTCCCCACTGCTTAGGCTATTGTTTTGGACTAAGCTCTTTGCTTGGTCAGGTGGACCCACCTGAGGGAGATCATGCTTGCAAAATCAGTACAAGAACCTTAGACTCTTGCCCCAAATCATCTGAAAGTGGGGTAATTTGACTGCTTAAATTGAACTGCAGGTTCTGCTGATGCCACAGCACACAGGAACGTGAGCACCACAGGAGCTGATAAGACAAGGGGCCCCTCAGAGTGTGGCTACAGCTATCTCTAATGAGAGGTCTCCCGACTCCATTTCTCACTTCTGGGCTCGGTTAACACACGTGAAATCTTATGTAGCCTCTGCAATTATTAAAAATAGTCTTTCGAAGAGTAAATGTTTTTAAATTTTTATGTGGTCCAATTTACAAGCCCTTTAATTATTTTTCTGTGTTCTTACTAAGAAATCCTTGCCTGATGCAATGTCACTAAGAGTTTCTTATAGAAGTTTTAGCTCTTACATATAAGTTGATACAGCATTTTGGAAGTAATTTTCCACATGATAACGCAACGGGACAAGTTTTTTGAGGTATACATTATACCTGATACAATATATTAATGTATGTAGACATTATACATTGACAACAACAAGATACTAGCTTCTAATTGCTGCAACAGCAAATTTCCACAAACTTAGCTTAGTGGCTATGTGGGAGAAAGATAGGTAATCTCCTCCCACTGAAAATCTAATGCAGAGTCTGCTATGGGTCTGCATAACTTGATAATCAAAAAATCAACTGTCTTACAGTTCTGTTGCTCAAAATGCAACACAGGCCTCAAAGGGCTAAAAAGGCAAGATGTGGGCAGGGCTGGGTCCTTCCTGGAATTTTCTAGGCTGCTTCTGGATTGGAGGGGCCACCTACATTCCTGAGCTATGGCCTCCTCCTCCTCTTCAAATGCAGCAGCAATGGGTCCACTTTTCCACTATCCCATCTTCTAGCAACCATGATCAGGAAAGGTTTCTGGTTTTGAGGACCTCTTGGGTGGTCCTCTAGTCCACCAGGTTGGTGTATACCACAGCCCCAACTCAAGGTCCTTGACTTAATTCTGCACGCAAAGCTTCTCTGCCATGAGGATGACACAGTCACAGGGCCAGAGGCCAGGGTGTGGGCCTGTGGGGGGCTGCTCTGTTACCACACAGGTCACAACCACTCACCACCTGCTCGTAGGCTCTTCCCTCTCCTTGTTGAGCTTGTGTGGAAGTGTGATGAACACATATGGTTACAAGTGTGTGAGTTTACTTGTGGACTTTTCCTTCCTGTCCTGCTCATCCATCTGTACATCTGCTCAGCCTACTATCATGGCGTCTTGGTTGCTGAAGCTGTACAGTTAGCAAAGCAGGCAGTGAGCATTTCTGACTCTTCTTTGTTTTGGTCGTCTGGGTTCACTGCATTTCCAACCAGGTCAGACCAGCTTATTCATTTCAAGGAATCTGTCTGCTCGGATTCTGAGCTGCATCGCCCCCAAACATCCAGGTGGCTGTTCACAAGATGTACCTTCTGCTCTACGGGGAACCCACCTGTCTCAGGAATAAGTGGTGTGCACAGTGGCCGGGACACACTTGAAGGGTGCAAGCCGAGTGGCTATTATGCCAAGGTCTCACAGAAAGACTTGATGTCCACTAGAATGAAGGAAGTGGGCATTCTCAAGACACGGCCAGTGATAGATGCCGGCTTGGAGAGATGGGCAGAAAATAATCTGTCAAATAAACACACTAGGATCTGAGATGAAGACAAAGGACAGAGGAAGAGAGAGAAGTAGCAATAACATGGCTGAGGAAGACAAAGAAGAACAGACCAGTGCCTAGCTCCTGACCACATACGGAGGCTAGTTCCCAACTAGACCACTAGACAAAACCTAACATAAGCATGTCCACACACCGAGAACAGAGAGATGATCCTCTGGGGACGTCAGCATTTAGAGATGGAAGGAAAAAGAAAAACCATTAAAGAAAACCAAGTAACCAGGGTTCACAGAGGCAGTGGAACCTTCCATGGGATGCAGACTGACAGAAGCATCCTAACGGATCAAGTCAGCCTCCCCAGAGGGGGACATAATGGAACCGGGCACCCTCAGAGGCCTGCCGGACACACAGAGCCCAAGACTACCATGATGGCACGCTACAGCATGCTTCAAATGCAGTGATGTTAAGGCAACGAAAGACAGGTGAGGAGGAAAGGACAGGAACACAGGCTTCTCTCCTGGCTGGACGGTCAGGAAAGCTGCACAGGACTGCAGGGCTGGGACACAGCACAA